TAATCTTACCACAAAAAAGTCCATTGATGTTTGAATACAAAATACAAGTGGCATAGCTAGAAACTTCACTTGTGCTGACAAATGCTAAATTAAAGTTAGACTGTTTGACACTTGTTTTCCAATCCTCTCTAAACCTTCTGTTATGAACAGTGATTTTGTCTCCTTTGAGAAAATACTGGTGATTGTGTATCTGCACATTTGTTTATGTACACATTATTTTGTGATTAAACAGAAGTAGCATATCAGCATCTTCTCCATACCTCGATTGCTATAATAAATTATGGTAGTTGCACATACCAAGATGTAGAGTTTCACTCATTCTTTCTAACAGCAGTGTGAACAGTCATGCCTCAGTATCCTGGGAAGGTGCCCCTGTGATAATGAACTGTTCAAATGCTCACATCCCCTATGAAATATGCCATAGCACTCACATATGACCCCACACACCTCCTCTCATACACTACAAAGCATCTCAAGGTTACTTGTCCTATTGGATATCATGTAAGTGTTAGATAAATAGCATTAATACTGTATTGTGTAGGGAGTCATGACAAGAAATGGCCTATATCTGTTCATTATAGATACACCCATTGGAGGCCTAGCTATATAGATCCTGAATGAGGCAAGAGGGCCAGTGCTCCACTGACGGTTACTGGTGAGAATCTGTGACATGGCTTTGATGATAGCACTGTGTGCTTATCTATATATCACTGCATTACCCATGGACTCAGTGATTAGCACACAGCAAATTCAGGTTTTGCTTTTTGAAACATTTTATTTTTTATGTGTATGAGTGTTTTTCATGCATGTAAATGCCCCGCATGCATTCAGTGCCCATGGAGGTCAGAAGAGGTATGAGATCCCCTGGAACTGGAGTTACAGATGGATGTTAGCTGCCATAGCGGTGCTGGGAACTGAACCTGAGTCCTTTGCAAGAGCGAACAGTGCTCTTAACTGCAGAGCCATCTCTCTAGTCTAATGTTTTTGAGAATTTCATGCATGAGTACTGTATTATATCATTTCCACCCTCCCTTCCCTCTAATTCCTCCCACATCTTATGCACAGAGCACAAGTGTCAATTTATACAGAATTTTTAGTGCATTTTCATTTTGACCAAGCCCTGTTACATGAAGTCAGGTGAGAAATTTTCCATTGGTGACGTCATGTTGTACTCAGAAAGTTTCAGTTTGGAGCATCAGCATTTTGAACTTGAGACTCAAATTAGGGATGCTTCCCTGCCGTAGCCAGAACATCTGTATCAAGCTTGTCGAAGAAGAGCTTTTCTTTCAAATACTTTACTGAACACCATTATATACTTTTCTTCAATTGTTGTGATCATAAAATATTTCCTAAATCTGCCTTAGGTAAACAGTTTCCTGTCTCTAACTTTACACAGTCATGATGTTTGGTCCTTCTTATGTATCTCTAATTTACTTTCATGAATATTGCTTTTCTCTAAATATTTGTTTTCCAATTTTTTCCATCAACTGGCAAATGGATAATGAAATTGGGGTACTTATATATAATGGAATTTTATCCAGCTGTCAGGAACTGTGAAATTTTGAAATTTGCAGGTAAATGGATGGAGCTGGAAGACTATACTGAGTGAGGTATCCCTGGCCCCAAAAGACAAGTGCTGTGTGTTCTGACTCATATGTGGATCTCAGTGTTGAATCTTTCTCTTTTTTCATTTTACAGTCATTTGTAAAGGTTTTGCTTCAGGTTTTTAAATCTATGTTCACAAGACAGTTGACTGTATAGTTTTCCCATGACATAAGATGGTGTCAGAATTCATGCTGCCTTTATAAGATACAACGTGGAAGAGTTCTTTTGTTCTCAAGACAAGTTCAGGTGCACTTGTTTTATTTAGTCCTTAAATTTTTGGTAGAATTTACTGTTGAAGTTATGTGGGTGTGAGACTTTCTTTCATGGTGGTGTTCAATTAAGAGTTAATTTTTTTAACCTAAATGTCTCTCAACTGACGAATGGATAAGGAAAATGTGGTACATTCATACAATGGAATTCTACTTAGAACTAAGAAAAGATGAAATTATGAAATTTTCAGGTAAATGGATGGAGCTAGAAATTGTTATACTAAGTGAAGTAACATAGACTCAGAAAAGCAAGTGAGTTATGTTCTTCCTCATTTGTGGATCTTAGCACCAAGCCCTTATATATGAGTATATATCCTGATGTAACAGCAGGGGCCAGGAAAATGAAAGAAAACAAGGAGGTAAAGGGAAAGAAAGAGCTTGAAAGAGGGGGATAGTAGGGAACAGATGTTAGCAAGGAAGAAATGAGGAAAATAAGGATTTTCAACTAGGAAGGGAAGAGGGACGGTCATAGAAGGAACCATGGGGGTAAAGGGGAAGAAGGAACATGAGAGGAGGGATAATAGGAGGCAGGTATTATGAAGAGGAAAGTGGGGGTACTTAAACTGGAGAAGGAAGAGGGTGGTTAGACAAGGAGAAGAAAGGAGAGTTTTAGGTTGTATGAAAAAAACAGAGGTAAATGCATTAATACACTCCCCCCCCCCGAGAGAAGAAGGTTAGAGAGGGAGAGAGAGAGGAGAAATAAATAAAGCTTAGGTGGCATAAAAATTCAGGGGAAAATGTATTAACGCAACCCCCTCCCCCCCAAAGTACACACGCAATATCTGAACATCCGTGCATGTGTATACCTGAAGGCTATATAGCAAGGAGCACAGTGCCAGACAGGAGAAACCTCCCTTTGAGTTATTGGTCAGAGTATTCCAAGAGACTCCTCAAATAACACAGGCTATTGGCACAGCCCTTGATCATCTCCTGGGACTTAAAGATGACACCCTATTGCTGAAGACAGGATGTACTTTGGACATAGGACTTGGAAGCAAGGAGCAGGAACTGACCTGGAAGCCTTCCTGAGGACTAGTTCTTATAGTTCTAGAGGAGGCTATGCAAGCTGCTAAGGGAGAAAATCAATCAGTGATCCAGCCTATCTCTAAAGCCTAATAACCACTATATTGATGTAGTAGTTGTACTGTTATCTAGGGGGTAATCAACAGCTATGTAATTGGACTTAAAGCCCGCTCAATGGGAGGGAACTCTTGAGTGGCACTGTAATATAACAGTATATACATGAATGACTGGAGAGATCATGGATCCTAGAGAAAACCCTATCTCTGTCATATCTCTAGACAAATGAAATTTCTTACAATATACTAAATATGGATCCTTATATTTAACAAATGTACCATACACCACTAATCAAAGAAGCTTCTTTTTGAAACAGATGGAGACTATTACAGGGTTCCACAACTGGTCACACACAGAGAAGATGTCTGAGAGATGCCCAGCCCTAAGTGACACATCTGCAGTAGAACCTCTACACCTAAGGCTCATGAAACATAGAGGAACAGGGGGGAGAGAGAGCATTAGTACATCCCTCAACTCTCACCAGCAAAGCTTCCTTACACAACAGAGTGTGATGCACACAGAAGGCCACAACTGCCTAAGTTTTGGAGAATAAGAGACTGCAGAGTGCGTGTCCCTGGATAGGACTCCAATATTAAACTTCACCCACCCACAGCTCAGGGACCATTTTGTTAAGAGAGGGCAGAAAGATTGTAAGAGCCAGGGTTGGTGCATGAACATAAGGAGACAGGCTTCCAGGCCACTGGAAACTTGTTCATATGAACTTGCAGCAATGCTGACAGCATGCACAAGACCCATGCCGACTCAGTCAGACAAAAATCTAGCATAGGAATGAGGGCGACAGGCAGCAGGCCAGGCCCCAACCCTAGCCTAGGAACTATTGGCAACTGATAACTGCTGGGTGAGAGAAATGAGATCTTCTTTAAGACCTCTAGATAGGCTGATGAGACTCCAGTGGATGAACTTGCCAACCAAAGGACACCTGGGTACAAATGCTTGAGCGGGTTAAGACTTAACATATATGACTGAATGCATGAAATCCAGTGGGACTAAGGGAGGGACATGAGTCTAAATTTGATTAAGAACTATTATATGAAATTTTTAAGTTACAATCTTTTAATCATTAAAATTTTCAAATTCATCTTTTTTTCTCAAATCAGTTTTGATGTTACACTTTTTCTAAGCAACCCTTTGTTATCTAAATTTCCAAATATATTCTTATACATTTGTTGACAGTGTCCTGTCATCTCTTGGAAGTCAGCAGGATGTTGGGTCATATGTCCCATTTCTGATGTTACTTTTCTATGCCTAGTTTGTTCTGGCCAGGCTTACCAGAAACTTAATCAGTTTTCCAAGTTAGCAGTAAACTGTCTTTTGTCTTTATCCACTCTTTTCAATGTATGGTAAAATTTGTTCCTTTATTGTCCTTGTCTGTCATTTCTTCTCCTTTCTCGGAGATGTGATTTGATTTTCTTTTCTAAAGTCTTGAGGTACATTCTTAATTTGTAGCTTTGCTTCTCTCAAAGCTAGATGTTCCTTCTGTACAGCACAGCTTATTATCACATTGGTTTTTCATGTGGTCATTCCATTCAGAAAATAACCTTTTAATATTGGTTTTGATTTCTTCTTTTATTCATAAGTCCTTCAGAAGCACATTACTTTATTCCCAACCATAGATTTTTTTTCCGGTATCTTTTGGTTGTCTGATTCTTATTCCTTATTTTTAAAAACATTTTGTTATTTTTATGTTATGTGTGTGAATGTATTGCTTGCATGTATGTAAGTGCACCTGTGTTGTGTATTGCCCACTGAGATCAGAAGAGAGTATATGATCCCCTAGAACTGGAGTTACAGACAGTTGTTAGCTGCTATGTGGGTGCTGGGAACCAAACCTGGGTCCTCTGGAAGAGCAGCCAATGCTCTTAATGCTGAACAATCACTCTAGCCCCTGTGATTCTTGCTTCCTTGTATTGTTGTGAGAAACCATACTTTCCATTTCAAACCTTTAGCATTGTTGAATCTTGCTTTGAGTGTCTCAGTTGTGGTCAGTTTTTATGAATTGTCCATGTGTTTAAGAATCATACATGTGTGCTCACTTCAGCAACACATATGCTAAAACTGGAACAATACAAAGAAGGTTAGCATGGCCCTTGTGCCAGGATGACATGCAAATTCATTAAACATTCTATTAAAAATTAAGAATCATACATGTTTTGTTACTGAATTCTTCCAGTGTTTCATCATTAAATTTGAACCCCAAAACACTACAGTTGTGTCACTAATCTTTAGAAGTTTTTTTTTGTTTTTCTCTTCATTTCCATCTTTTTCTTTATACTGTGCTGAAGAACCTGGGCCTTTGATCTGTAGTCCCTGCTTGCCTTCCTGCATTACCTAATTTATATGCAGCCAACAGTATTCCCCTGTCCTGCATATTTCTTGAAATAACCAACAGGATTTAGAAGCCTGATCAAAATCAAGTGTTTTTCTCTTTGGTAGCTGCTTAGCTTCATAAGGAGTTATAACAAGCCTAGTCATCTCTCTCTGTGATGTTAGCAACTTTTAATGTGGAATGCCTAGATTCATGAATACATTGGAGGTTGATAATGGTAATACTATAATTCTTCAGTGCCTTCATCATTTGTTAGTTTGGATCATACTGAAATGGTACTGCTTATCTATTATTGGGCTGTTTTGCCGTTTGTTTACCAGTCCTCAAGACAATAAGCTGCAGCATCCTCTGCAAGTGGCCAATAAACGCTTTGTGAAACTCATTGTCTCATAAACTGAAATACATTTAGGATGTTTTAATCCCACACAATTATTCTCTTTAAAGTATGCAGTATACTCATTTTGGCCAGTAGAAGCTTGCCATTTGTGTGTTCTTGAGTTGACTTTCATCATTTGATATTTCTTCTCTGAATGCATCTGTTAAGTTCTGGTGGTATGTTGGACATGGTGCACGTGACTCTTTGAGGGCCTGTGTTTTACGGGTTTTCTCTAGGCTGAATTTTGTTCTTGCATACATGTAGTTTGTTCATTTATTGATGGACCAGCTTGATGCTTTTTTAATACTAAGTATGCACCCCCATTTTATGTTAATAACTTACATTATTTTACTAATTCCTAACTAAAATCTAAAGAGCATAACCTACTGGTATTTAAAAATTAAAAGCAACGAAATCTATTTCATTTACTCTTACCTTTCTGACATTTTTGTTTTGGTTTCTGGCTCCATGTAAAAATAAGTTCTAGTATTAGGGCAAGAGATGGTTAGGATATTGTTATTCCAAACAATTTTAAACCATGTTAACAAAATAGAAAATAGCTAAATATTTACATGACAAAATATTTTCCTATTGTTTTGAACTTTGTAAAAGGCTCTGTTTCCATTGTTCCCCTTTCCCCCTTTTAAAAAATTGAACCTAGGCCTACCTCAAGCATTGTGTCATATTTTGAATCCTAGTGATGATTGCCTGTTAGGTTACATGCAGTTTGTTTTTAAAAAGTATTATCTTTATATTTCTTTATGTGTGTCTTCATTTGCAGTGCTAGAGATCAATCCTAGAGCCTTATACATGTTAGTCAAGAGCTCTGTTACTGAGCTAAATCCTAGTTCTTGCTTCTTTTTTTAGAACTCTATTCTTTGACAATTTCATACATGTATACAATGCATCTTGATCATATTCAACTTAAGTCCTCTCCCTCTAGACCCTTTCCCCCTGAACTTCCCTTCCATATCTTCCTTTTATTTTTAAAGACAACTCATTCTAGTTAGTGCTTCCTGAATGCACACAGGTGTGGGCTCATCCACCTGAGCCTGGGCAATATATAAGCAGCCATACCACTGAAGAAAACTGACTCTCTCTTCCCTAGAAGCCATCAATTGCCAATAGCTCTTAAGCTATGGATGGAGCTGGAATGCTGACTGGCTTAAGAAAACTGACTCCCTCCCCCCCAGAAGCCGTCAATTGCCAGTAGCTCTTAAGCTGTGGATGGAGCTGGAATGCTGACTGGCTTGATCTTGTGCAGGCCTTTTGCAGGTAACCACAAATGTCATGAGTTCATGAGTGCCATGGCCTTGTATCCAGAAGACATTTCACGACACTCCTCCACATCCTTACACTCCTATATTCTTTATACCTTCTCTGCCATAGTGTTCCCTGAGCCTTGGAAGGTGGGGGGGTGATATAAATGTCCCATTTAGGACTGAGCATGCAGCAGTCACTTATTCTCAGCACTCTGTTGACCTATGAGTCTTTGCATTGATTGCTGCCCACTGCAAAGAGAAGCTTCTCTGAACAAACTTGAGAGCAACACTAATCTATGAGTACAAACACAGATATTTGGAAGGCAGTTTGACAACATTTCTATTTAGCAAATCAGTGTAATAGAATCCTTAGTATGGCCTATGACATTACCAGCCATGGGCTTCATTTTAATTTTAATTTTTTATTTTATGTGTATGAGTGTATTGCCTGCATGCATGTAAGTGCACCCATGTCATACAGTGCCTGTGGAGGTCAGAAGAGGGTGCTGGATCCCAACTGGAGTTACAGATGTTTTTAGTTGTCACTTGGGTGCTGGGAATCAAATCTGAGTCCTCTGCAAGAACATCCAGTGCTCTTAACTGCTGAGCCATCTCTCTAGCCCCAGCAGCCATGGGCTTTTGATTAGGTTTACAGTACCAGGCATGAATTCTTTCCTCTGGAGCAAGCCTCAAATCTAATCAGGAAGTTGATGGTTACCCCCATAACAGTAATGCCACTATTGTAACAGTAAACACATATTACATGGCAGGTCAGTATTGATGCTTGTCCACAGTTTGGGAAGTCCATTGATGGTGTTTCTCCCCCACTGACCTTCATAGCACCTTCTGATACTATGAAAATTATCCACCAGAGAGGATGCTTCCATGTCAGTTCTATGTCATCAGCAATAGGATCTTATCATGTAGCCATGATAGGCAACCAAGTATCTCTTATTTCAGTTTTTAATCCATAGATAACAATTATATATGCTTATGGGGTATACTGTGACATTTCAATACATTGTATACAGTGTATAATCCTTGGAACGAGTAACTGGCCTATCAACTCAAACACTTATCATTTTGGGGTAAGTTGAGAATATTCAAAATCCTCTCTCCTGGCTTTGCAAAATATATAATTAATTTTTGTCAGTAGCAGTTACCCTACTGTGCAATAAAACATTAGAAGTTGCTTCTCCAACCCAACTGCACCTGTGCACCCATTGTCCATTCTACCTCTGCTCCCTCCCTTGTCTCTTTTCAGCATCTGGTAACCATTAGTCTGCATTCTATTTCTACAAGATCAGGTGTTTTAGCTTCCATACACAAGTGAGAAACTGAGGTATTATCTTCATTTATCTTACACAACTCACTTAGCACAATGTGTTCCAGTCTCATCCATGTTGCTGGCTATGAAAGGGTTTTGTCTTCTTATGATTGATTGCGTATATATAGTGTCACATTTTCTTTAACCACTCATCTGTTGATGGAAATCTGTGTTGATCCCATATCTTTACCACTGTAAACAATGCTATCATAAGAATATGCAGAAGCCTATGCATTTTGGCATAGGAATTTCCTTTCCTTTGGATAGATACTCAGTGGTGGGGTTGCTGGATCAAAGGGTAGTTGGTTTCTAGTTTTTGAGGAACATCCATCCTGTTTCCGTAACGACTGTATTAATTTATATCCCTACCATTCACGTATTAGAGTTCCACTTTCTCTGCAGTCTCATCATTTTAACTAGATGTGATGGTATCTCTCACTGTGATTTTGATTTTGATTTCCCTGGTGATTATTGGTGGTGAGCAAGTTTCCAGGTGCTGACTGACCCTTTACATATATTTTCGTGGGCATTTTCTGTTTAGATCAATTGCCTATTTTAGTCAGATGATTATAATTATTGTAATTATTATGTTGTTAGTTTCACGTATACTCTGCATATAAAGCCCTTTTCTTATGAGTAGTTTTCATCCCACTGAAAGTAAGCTCTTTCTTTATGGATTATTTTCTTCACTGTATAGCAGCTTTTAAATTTGGTCTAATCACATTTGTCAGTTTTGCTTCTGTGGCCTCTGGTTTGGGGGACTTTATAGCTTTGATGTGATTTTTTTCTCAATGGGTTCATTTCAAAAACCTCTTTCCTGGCCATCAGGCTTTATCTGTGATCCCAGTGATTTCCAGGGTTGAATTTGTTTTTAAGATTTATTATGATGGGTTTAAGGCATGGGTTGGAAGACACTATAAATGGCCAGGATTTGGGAGTCACTCATGGTGTCTGTTATATATATTTCTTCACTGAAATGTAAAAGTTATTCTTAGCTACAGGTTGTTCAACAATAGGCTGACAGATCACATTCAGCCCATCTGCTGTAGTTTGCCAGCCATAATCCACAGTCACCCTTTCTCCAGGGATCAGGTGATCTCCCTTAAGGCATGGATTTCTGGGTGGTTGGCTGAGGGCCCAGAGCACACAGTGCAGTTTCTCTATGACTGGAATTCCTCCTTCATTACTCTGCTCTGGAATGTGTTCTATCCACAGCCCTCCCAGCTGTTTTCCTGCCAGACCATGGCTCTCACTTGACACATATGCAGCTGTGGTTTGGACAAGTAATTATGAACTCCACGAAAATTCTCAGGGCTTCCCCATGAGTGTTCTTCACTCTGATGTGTGTCTCTGCAAAGTCTTTTCCTATTAACAGCTTTACTCTGTGGCCCAGCTCACCAGGCCAGTGCGAGGTATGCGCTGCATGGGACCACCTCCTTCCATCATATCCTGAAATGTGTTTTCTGAGCCCAGCAGAAAACAAAGGTGCCATGGAACTCATGCATCAATTTTCCTACTCTCAGGGATTGCACATCTGTCATGACCTTTCCGATATCCGAAGGGACCTGCCTTGCTTATTTTGCCCAGTGTTTACAATGGAAGATTAATTCACTCCATCATGGTGGGAAGCAGTATTTAACAAGACTTTAAAAATAGTGATTTCTTTACATTTATTAGTTATTATTGATGAGAAATATATGATTAGATTATAAAAAAAATTAAACCACTGTGTCCATGTGTCCTCCCCCACTGCCTTTTATATTTTGAGACATGGTCTCATGTAGCCCAGGCTACCCTAGAACTCACTATCTCACTATATAACTAGGGCTGATCTTAATGAT